TATATATATATATATACAATTATACAAAATTATATATCCTTACTGCATAGAATAATTTTATGTATGTGCAGTGAGGTTACCACATATTGCTCTTTAAGAAGCCGCCTTTAAAAAACAATGCTGTCACCAGGCCTGGTGGCACACACCGTTAATCCCTAAAGAGGTAGAGGAAACAGATCTTCATGAGTTTGAGGCCAGCCTGGTCCAATTGTGAGTTCAAAGCCAGCCTGGTCCACATAATAAGACTCTGTCTCAAAAGAAAAGAAAAACAATGATGTTGAAGTGTTACAGAGTGACTTCATATATATTGGAAGATATCTGAAGAATGAAGACTATTTGATATTAAGATGCTTCAGCCAGGGAGTGGTACCATTTTTATTGAGGATTAGCATTTGAGAGATCTAGTGTTTGTAGTTTGTGGGACTGACAGAGAGATTAGAATTACTTTTCAAATTACCTGATATCTATTTCATTCTGGGGCTATGCTGGCAAAATCAAAGTTGCAGTAATTTGTATAACTTCTGTTTTACTAAAATGTTGAATGAATAACATCAGAACTAATATTCCTAATTTTCAGAGAAAAATACAATTCTTGTTTTAATTTTTACAATTTATTTTTCTTTAGAAATGCATATCAGAAACTATCTTCTTTTTTGTTGGGGGTGGTGGTGGTGGCTTCCAGACAGGGTTTCTCTGTGTAGCAGTCCTGGCTGGCCTGGAACTCAGAGAGTTCCTCTCCAGTGCTGGGATTGAAGGCATGTGCCACCACACCCAGCCAGAGAATATCTTTTTTAAGGACACTTACCCACATCTTTCGGACATTATAAATTTTTTTTTGATGTTAACAAAAACTAAAAGGAGTTTCCTGATTGTGGACAAAATAATAAGTAAAAAACCTGTGACTGCACAGAACTTTGTACCAAGAAATGCTTGTTGTTCCTCTCATTCTTGTCCCTAGGCATGATATCCCAGCTTGCAGAGAAGTATGGCCTTCCACTGCGGACCAGCTTCAGTTCTGCACGGGGCTTCTTCATCCAAATGACTACAGACTGTGCCGCCATCTCCAGTGACCAGCTCCCCTCAGAGTTTATCAAGGTTAACCCGGAGTGACAAGGAATTGCTGTTACTGGTTTTACCAAGTTGCATGGGTAGACTTTCCAGCCCTCCTTGAGTTTAGCTTCTCCACTGGCTTGTTGAGCAGCCACACCAAGCAGGGTGACAGGCTTGAGGGGGACAACCAAAGGAGGCAAAAGGCAAATTAAGAAACAAAGTCTAAAAGGTGTCTTTGACAAAAGAATGTAGGAAAACACTGACCTACCTTTTGCTGAAAACTTGTTGACTGCATTGTTGTATGTGTGGGGGGGGTCAGAGAACGTCTTGTGGGCATCTGTCCCAGGATTGAGCTCACTCACCCAGGTCTCCAGGCCTGGCCGTACCTGCTGCACCAGCTCCCCTACCTTTGTCTTACATAGTTTTCCAGATGCATTTTCCTACTAAAGATCTTGGGGTTTCTGCAGAAGGACATGTGTGTGCTCAGTGTAGTGTTTTAGCCTGTGAACGGTAGTGCCTTCTCCTATGCTCATGTTCACAGTGTTTTTGGTTTTTGGTTTTTGGTTTTGGTTTTCTGCTTCCCAGGAGTAGGAGAACAAACCATCCAGTGTTCAGATTTGTTTATATGTGCATGTATCTATTTTCATGGACAAATGCATTGTGCACAAGCAAGCAGTACACTTAAAAACTGTCTTACTGGCAGCGAGGTTTATATGAGGTCGTTGTGGAGCCAGAGGCTAAGTGAGGTTCATTTGGAGAACAAGGACTCCGGAGAGGCAGAGATAGAATGAGGGTCACCGAGGGTCACCAAGGGTCCTCCCTATCCAGCATGCGTGTTACCTACTACTAAGATGCAGTCTTCTAACCTTTCTGCAAGGCCATTTCAGAACTTACCGACTAGTCATGCTGGAGAGATTGGGTAAAAAAATAATCTCAATTTATCTTTGACGTAATCTTGTTATTATTATTCACAGATATTATTTAGAACTTTCTTTGTGATATTTTATTTCAGAAATGAAAGTGGTTAACTCCAAACCTATCTTTCTGTCCTATAAACTGTGTTTTATCTCATGTGAGTACACATATCCTGACATTTGCTTTTAACTTCCTGCAGATATCTAAAGTGAAAAACTCCTATAGCTTTACATCAGCAGATTTAATTAAAATGAATGAACGATGCCAGGAGTCTTTGCGAGAGATCTATCACATGACTTACATGTAAGAGCATTTGAAGTATTTGAATACTGTATTAAATTTGAGGAATCGTAATAGCTTTAATTAATTGACTCTTTGATTACAGACAGTTCAGTTTTGAGCATTACAAAAGGAAGTCTGCCATCATGTTGAGAGTGAATGAGCTCATGGAAGTGTCGAGCACATCTATCAGGAAGCCTTAGTTGTATTCCCAGGGCTTCTTCCCGTGCACAGCACTGTGATGTAGGGCTCATGGACCGTGGTATTATTCCTTTCCTGTGGTCTATGAGCCTTGGCTAGTTAAACTTTGGTATTTCTAAGGCAGCGTCAGAGTGGGCCTGCTCTTTTCCTTCTCATGGAACAGCAAGCAGCCTTGGAGTTAGGAGAGACAGCGTTTGGAATTGGTGGGCTGAGATAGAGGGGGAAAGTTAGGCTTTCAAAAACAGTTTCAAGTTCTGGACCTCAGATACTATTAATATAATATCAATTTTGGGTTCATGCTCATCCTCGATAGGGTAAAAAGCCCCTGGGGTGTGTTACATTATAACCCTGTTCATAAAAATCTCAATAATGATATGCTTGGAATATGTTTGTGTGTTTGTATTTGTGTGTATTTGTGTCTCTGTGTGTCTGGGTTTCTGCCCTACCACGTGCTTGTGTCTTTGTGTGTATTTCTGTGTTTCTGTCTGTATGTGTGTCTGTTTTTGTGTATGAATGCTTGATTACATCTATATAAACTGTTTTATACTTTCTCTGACATAGCATTTGATAGAAAATGTCTATTTTGTTTATATTTAATGAGACTGTCATTTCAGCAATAAATATAGAAGAATCTGGATTATTTTTTACCTGGCAGATGTAACCTTAAGCTGAGGCATCAGTAGCCTCATTTTATCTAAAATGAGCCAACCAGGCAATTGACTTTCTGTGTAATGCACAACCCAACTGTGAATATTATTTCCCATGCAGTTAAAGCCTGTGTGCCTTCTTTTGAAAAAACCATCATGTCTTTCAGGATCGTGTGCAAGCTGCTTAGTGAGATCTATGAGCACATTCACTGCCTGTACAAGCTCTCTGACACGGTGTCAATGCTGGACATGCTGCTGTCTTTTGCTCATGCCTGCACGCTTTCTGACTATGGTGAGTCACTTTCTCCAGAAACTTGTATACTACTCAATTTTATGAAAGACTTGTGAATATTTTACCCTTTTTACTTGAAGTAGTTTCTGGTCTGTGGCCCTAGCTAACACACAGGATGGAGATAGTGAGATTAACCTTAAATGTTTTAGGGGACTGCTCATACAGAGCGCCCACCTACTGTCTGTAACTCTAGCTCCATGGCTGACACCTGTTGGCCACTTCAGGAACTGTGCTCACATGCACATAGCCAAACACAGACACAAATATATAATTATAATAAAAATCTTCACAACATTTCTTTAAAAGTTAAATTCAAGTAATATCCATTGAAAATTGCCAAGTCAAAAAGAACAGAGCTCAAGGAATTTTATTTTTTTATTTAAATTAGAAACAATCTTATTTTACATATCAATCCCAGTTCCCTGAGAGGGAACTGCCTTTTGTAGTGGAACTGAAGGAATTTTTCAAGGTTTCCCAGATAAGAGTGACCACTGAGCTATATATCTCCTTGGTGAAATGGCTGTGATCTGTACAGAGGCCGGCAGTGTCAGGTCACCACCTGAGTAGAACTAGCCCCTGAGAGTTCTTACATAGTTTATCAGTTATTATCACACACCAACATGCAAATATCTAGGACTAGTGTATGGTAGTTATGATTGAATAATAACATGAAAATTAACATTTGTAATTAAAATTAGCAACAACATTTGTTACATTGGTCGATGAATTAATTTTAAAGACTGTTTTTGTTTTATGTGTATGTATGAGTGCCTGAGTGTATGTGTGTGCAGTGCCCTTGGAGGCAAGAAGAGAGGATCAGATGCCCTGCAACTGGAGTCATGGATGGTTGTGAGCCACCATGTGGGTGCTGGGAACTGAACCCAGGTCTCCTGCAAAAGGAGAAAGTGCACTTAACCACTGAGCTATTTCTTCAACACCATTACATTAATTTTTTTGTGGGAAGTATCTTACAAAACTCATTTTATATTTCTAAATTTCTAAAATTGAATATTAATAAATAATAGCAAATAGTAATAACAAATAACTGGAGCAATAATCAATATTGACTTTTCACTGCTATCTTATAGACTGAAACATTTACTCTTCCCTATCTTCTTTAGGATCAAAACTCTACCTTGGGATTCATTATTGTGGGGTGGTGCCTTGTGTGAACCAGGTCTCAGGTATTCCAGACTGATCTCAACCTTTAGTAAGTGTGAGGGTGACGATCGGCTCTGCCCTACACACACAGAACAATGCCCACTTAACACAGTGCTGTCAGGGAATTCCGGGTGTCGTACCTGGGCAGCCAGCCCTCCACCAACTGAGCCGTGTCCCCAGCCCAGGATTTGCTATTCTAACGGTAGTTTTATTAATTTTTAAGCAACTTGTTGCTCTATTTTAGTTTGAGAAATATAAATATCATATCTAAATTCCAAAATTGCAGTATTGTTTAAATACCTGTAATGCTTCTGAGCAGCCTTGATCAGTGATGGATGTTGTGCAGTTTGCCCATGCGCTGCGTTTCTCAATGTGCACTAATTCAGTTCCCCTCAGATGGTGTCCGGAGAGAGCTTTCTGTGAACCAGCAGAGCTTCAGTACTGGTTTTCTCCATTTTCAAAAACTGATTTTTAGACATATTATTCAAAGGGAATAGGACAGAAAATGACTTATATTTGGCTTTACTGTTTAATTACACTTTACTGTGAACACTAAGTCTGCTAGAAAAGCAGTGTTTAGGGTGCACCAGGTAAGCGTTCAATCTATAGGAGTCACTGATTATTTTGAAGATCTTACCAATGGCCTTGGATTCTTTTTAATCTGTACAAATATGGAAATTTTATAAGCTGTTTTAGAACCCAGAGCAGTGAACAGGAAGTACAATCTAGATTCTCTGGGAATAAATGGAAATTATGAGTATACTCATTATTACAATTAATGATTTAAGAGTGTTTGGGATAAAATAGTAACTTATTGTCTCAAATTGACCTCATGAAATTACTAAGGTCGGCCCATATGTACACACCACAAGATATATAGATACGAATATACTCAGCTTTTAAAACCCTTATTTTTTTCTCCAGTTCGACCAGAGTTTACTGACACTTTAGCAATCAAACAAGGATGGCACCCCATTCTTGAGAAAATATCTGCAGAGAAACCTGTTGCAAACAATACATATATTACAGAAGGGAGTAATGTTGTGATCATAACTGGACCGAATATGAGTGGAAAATCCACGTATTTAAAACAGATTGCACTTTGTCAGATCATGGCCCAGATTGGTAAGTTACACTTTTGCTTTATAGTCGCCAGTTGTGGGAGTTTGAAAAGAACGAACACCACAGGCTCATGTTTGGTTAGAAACCTAGCCTATAACAGCTGTGCCATCTCTGCAGTTGGTGGAGCTGTTTGGGAAGAGTTAGGAAATGTGACTCTGTTGGAGAAGGTGTCTCTCAGGGGGTTGGTGGTATACTGAGGTTTCAAACGCCTGTCATTCCCAATTAACTCTCTTCCTGTCTCCAACTTAAGGTCAGACATAAGGTCTCAGCTCCTGCTGCAGTGCCATGCCTGCCTGCCTGCAGCCATGCTCCTCACCATGATGGTCATAGACTAACCGTCTGGGACTGTAGACACCTGTAAATGCTTTCTTCTGTAAACTGCCCAGGTCATGTGTTTTCATAGCAACAGAAAAGCCACCAAGACACAAAATCCTGAGTAGGAGAAGCCAATGTCTTTAGTGACCAAGTGATAAACATTACAGCATTAGGCATAGAAAGGGGTACCAACTGGGGGGAGGGGAGAGTCAGTCTATCTGTCCATGTGTGTAAATATCTGCCCTTGCTCCAGCACTGTTACATATCTGTTACATATGTCTTTATTCAGGCCTAACATAACTCCTGTCTCAGGTAACTGAGTTTCCTGAGAACTGACCTCCGACATCAGAAGCCAGGCTGGCAACTCACACCCATATCCCAGCACTGGGGAGGTGACAAGCAGGGGATCAGAAGGCCATGCACACCCTCACCTTGGTTAAGTAGACTGCCTTGTTAGCTATCGGTGAGAGCCAGAGCAGAGGCAGGGCTGGCCAGCAGCTCCTATAGCTGTAGGTGGCAGATTGTGAGAGAGAATGGATAATACAAATAAATACCAGCTAACCATGTATGTGTATTCTCTATATGGCCTTTGGCTTAGTGGAACTCTCCATTTACTCCTTCAGTAATTCTAAGAGTTGGGTTTCTTTTGTTGTTGTTGTTTTGTTTGTCTTTTTTTTTTTTTTTTTTTTTTTTTTTTTGAGACAGGGTTTCCCTGTGTCGCTTTGGCTTTGGAGCCTGTCCTGGAACTAGCTCTTGTAGACCAGGCTGGTCTTGAATCACAGAGATCCACCTGCCTCTGCCTCCCGAGTGCTGAGATTAAAGGTATGCACCACCACCACCCAACAAGATAAAGGAGGTTTTATTTTGTTTTTTGTTTTTGTACCCATTCTCCTATATTTTTTCCACCCCAATACATAGTATGTCTTTTTTTTATTGTTCTCTCATATAGTACATCTCAACCACAGTTTTCCCTCCCTCCCCCAAGTCTGCCATCTCCCTTCTCCCAGAGATCCACTCTCCTCTGTATCTCCTCAAACAAGAGCAGGCTTCCCAGGAACATCAAACAAACACACCATAATATGCTATTATAAGACCACATCAAGGCTGGATGAGACAATCTAGTAGGAGGAAAAGGGTCCCATAAGTAGACAAAAGAGTCAGCAACCTCCCGTGCTCCCACTGTTAGGAATCCCATAAGAACACCAAGCCTCTCAGCCATAACATATATGCAGAAGATTTAGGCCAGGCCCACTCAGGCTCCGTGATCTCTGTGGGCCTCCATGAGTCCCTGGAGACCCCTCTAGATCCTCTGACCCTCTCCCCATCCCCACATACTCACCAAGCCCCACCTCATGTTCATCTCTGGGACTCTGATCTGCTCCCGTCATTTGCTGGATGAAGTGGCCCTGGTGTCTTTGATGATGATTCTGCCAGGCTCTGGTCCCAGAACACTCTGCAACCTGGACAAACTGTAGGTCGAGGGTTTTGTGGCTGGGTTGGTGTCCCAGTACTTGTAGTTGAGGCCTTGCCTGGTTGCAGAAGGTGGCCAGTTCAGGCTCCATGTCCCCCATGACTAGGAGTCTTTGCTAGGTTTGCTTTCATAGATTCCTGCGAGTTTCCATTGCACTGGTTTCCACCTCGGCCCTAAACAGTCCCCAGGTCCACTCCTTTCTCCAAGTCTTTCTCCCCTGCCACTTGGTCCCTCCTGTTCCCAGCCCTGTCCACCTCCAGTCCACCCATGACAGCTATTCTGTTTCCCCTTCCTTCCCACGCAGAGCCTAGCTTCCTCCCTAAGCCTCCTTGTTACTCAGCCTCTCTGGGTCTGTGAACCACAGCATGACTATCTTTTACTCTACAGCTAATATCCACGTATGAGTGAGTACATTCCATGTTTGTCTTTCTGGGTCTGAGTTACCTCACTAAGGATGATTTTTTTTTCAAGTTCCATCCATTTGCCTGAACTTTCATGATATCTTTGTTTTTAACAGCTAAGTGATAACTCACTGTGTAAATGTACCACATTTTCTTTATCTATTTTTCAGTTAGGGGACATCTAGGTTGTTTCTAGTTTCTGGCTATTATGAACAAAGCTACTGTGAACATAGCTGAGCTAGTGTCCTGGAATAAGATGGGGAGTCCTTTGGGTGTGTGCCCAAGAGTGGAATTGCTGGGTCTTGAGGTAGACTGATTCCCAGTTTTCTTAGAAACCACCATACTGATTTCCACAGTGGCTGTAAAGTTTGCACTTCCACCCTCAGTGGAGGAGCATTATTCTTGCTCCACGTCCTTGCTAGCATGAAGTGTCACTTGTGATTTTGATCTTAGCCATTCTGACAGGTGTAACATGGTATCTCAGAGTCGTTTTGACTTCCATTTCCCTGATGGCTAAGGGCAATGTTGAACATCTAAGTGCTTCTCAGCCGTTTGAGTTTTCTCTGTTGAGAATTCTGTTTACATCCGTACCCCATTTAAAAAAGAAAAAAACACTTTGTCTTTTTGTGTGTGTGTGTGTTTTTTTAAAGTTATCTATTATGTATACAGTGTTCTGCCTGCATGTCTGCCTGAACACCAGGAGAGGGCGCCAGATCTCATTACAGACAGTTGTGAGCCACCAAGTGGTTGCTGGGAATTGAACTCAGGACCTCTGGAAGAGCAGCCAGTGCTCTTAACCTCTGAGCCATCTCTCCAGCTCCTGCACTCCATTTTTAAATTGGATTATTTAATTTGTTGATGTCTAGTTTCTGGAGTTTAAATATTTTTGATATTAGCCTTCTGTCAGATGTGAGGTTGGTGAAAATCTTTCCCCTTCTGTAACTGCCATTTGGTCCTATTGATGGTGTCCTTTGCCTCACAGATGCTTTCAGTTTCACAAGGTTCCATATGTTAGTTGTTGATCTTAGTGTGTTCACTGTTCAGGAAGCTGTCGTTCAAGGCTCTTCAGTGTATCTGGTTTTATATTGACGTCTTTGATTCATTTGGACCATGTAAGGTGATAATATAAGGATCTGTTTGCATTCTTCTACATGCCAACGTCCAGTTAGACCAGCACCATTTGTTGAAGATGCTGTCTTTTTTCCATTGTGCATTTCTGCCTTCTTTATCAAAAATTAAGCATTCATAGGTGTGTGGGTGGATGTCTTTATCCACAGGTGTGTGGGTGTAGTCTTTATCCACAGGTGTGTGGGGGTATGTCTTTATCCACAGGTGTGTGGGGGTAGTCTTTATCCACAGGTGTGTGGGTGTAGTCTTTATCCACAGGTGTGTGGGGGTATGTCTTTATCCACAGGTGTGTGGGGGTAGTCTTTATCCACAGGTGTGTGGGTGTAGTCTTTATCCACAGGTGTGTGGGGGTATGTCTTTATCCACAGGTGTGTGGGGGTAGTCTTTATCCACAGGTGTGTGGGTGTAGTCTTTATCCACAGGTGTGTGGGGGTATGTCTTTATCCACAGGTGTGTGGGGGTAGTCTTTATCCACAGGTGTGTGGGTGTAGTCTTTATCCACAGGTGTGTGGGTGTAGTCTTTATCCACAGGTGTGTGGGTATATGTCTTTATCCATAGGTGTGTGGGTGTATGTCTTATCCACAGGTGTGTGGATGTATGTCTTTATCCACAGGTGTGTGGGTGTAGTCTTTATCCACAGGTGTGTGGGTGTAGTCTTTATCCACAGGTGTGTGGGTGTAGTCTTTATCCACAGGTGTGTGGGTGTAGTCTTTATCCACAGGTGTGTGGGTGTAGTCTTTATCTACAGGTGTGTGGATGTATGTCTTTATCCACAGGTGTGTGGGTGTATGTCTTTATCTACAGGTGTGTGGGTGTATGTCTGAATCATTGATTTGATTCCATTGACTAGTGTATTTTTTTTTTTTTTTGTCAGTACAGGATGGCTTTTATTACTACAGCTGTGTGGTACAGCTTGAAATCATGGATGGTGATATCCCCATAAGTTCTTTTATTGGATAGGATTATTTTACCTATCCTGTGTTTTTTGTTTTTCCATACGAAGTTGAGTGTTTTTCTTTCAAGGTCTGTAAGGAATTGTGCTGGGATTTTATTGGAGATTTCAATCAATCTGTGGATTGCTTTTGGTAGGATGACCATTTTTACTGTGTTTATCCTACTGATCCTTGAGCATGGGAGATGTTTCCATCTTCTGATATGTTCTTCAATTTCCTTCTTCAAAGACTTGAAGTTTTTATCATACAGGTCTTTCTTGCTTAGAGTTACCCAAAGATATTTATGTTGTTATTTGTGGCTGTTGTAAAGGCTGTTAGTTCCCTGATTTCTTTCTCAGCCCGTTTGCCATTTGTATATAAGAGGACTACTGATTTTTTGTTTTGTTTTGTTCTGTTTTTCAAGACAGGGTTTTTCTGTGTAGCTTTGGAGCCTATTCTGGCATTTTTTTTAAATTAATTTTGAATCCAGCTGAAGGTGTTTATCAGCTGTATGAGATCCCTGATAGAATTTTTGGAGTCACTTATGTATACAATAATATCTTGTGCAAATAATGATATATTGACTTCTTCCATTCCAATTTGTATCCCCTTGATCTCCTTTAGTTATCTTATTGCTCTAGCTAGGACTTCAAGTACTATATTGAATAGATACGGGGACATTGAACAGCCGTGTCTCTGATTTTAGTGGAATTGCTTTAAGTTTCTGTCTGTTTACTTTGATGTAGGCAATTGGCTTGCTGTATATTGCCTTTATTATGCTTAGGTATGTCCCTTGTATCCCTGAACTTCTCAAGGCTTTTATCATAAAAGGGTGTTGGATTTTGTCAAACACGTTTTCAACATCTAATGGGATAATTATGTATTTTTTCTTTCAATTTGTTTAGGGAATTATATTGACAGACTTTCATATGTTCAAACATCTCTGCATCTCTGGGATGAAGCCTACTTGGTCATGGTGGATGATCTTTTTGATGTGTTCTTGGATTCATTTTATTAGTATTTCATTGAGTATTTTTGCATCGATGTTCATGAGGAAAATTGGCCTAATGTTTTGTTAAGTCTTTGTGTGGTTTGGGTATCAGGGTTAATGTGACCTCATAATATGAACTTGCCTATGGCCTTTCTGTTCCTATTTTGTGTCATAATTTGAGGAGTATTGGTATTAGCTCTTCTTTAAAAGTCTGTTAAAATCATCTGACCCTGAGCTTTTTTCTTTTGGTTGGGAGACTTTTAATAACTGCTTCTATTTCCTTAGGGGTTGTAGGTCTATTTAAATTGTTTTTCTAATTTGATTTAACTTTGGTAAGTGGTATCTATGGAGAAAATTGTCCATTTTCATTCAGATTTCCCATTTTGTGGAGAACAAGTTTTTGAAGTATGACTTAATGCTTTTTGTCTTGATGACTTGCCCATTGCTAAGCGTTGAGCATTGAATTCTCCCACTATTAATGTGAGGGTTGATGTGTGATTTAAACTTTAGTACTATTTCTTTTACAAATTTGGGTACCCTTGCATTTGGGGTATAGATATTATGAAACATATTCTTGATGGATTTTTCCTTTGATGAATATGAAATGTTCTTCTCCATCTCTTTTGACTAATTTTGGTTTGAAGTCCATTTTGTTAGATGTTAGAATAGCTATACAGATTGATTCTTAGTTCCATTTGCTTGGAAAATCTGTTTCCAACCCTTTACTGTGAGTTAATAGCTATATTTGATGTTTAGGTCTATTTGTAGTATGCAACAGAAGGATGGATACTGTTTTTGTATCTTTTTATTGATGAATTGAGTTCATTGATATTGAGAGATATCAATGACCAGTGATTGTTAATTCCTGTCATTTTGTTGTTGGTGGTGGTGTTGTTGTTGGTGGTGTTGTTGTTGTTGGTGGTGATGGTGATGGTGGTATGTGTTTCCTTTCTTTGGATTTTGTTGATTATTATTGCCTGTGTTTTTGTGGGTGTAGTTAACTTCCTTGAGTTGTAGTTTTCTTTTATAGGGCTGGATTATAGATAGATATTGTTTAAGTTTGACTTTGTCATGAAATATTTTTTTCTCCATCTATGGTGATTGAAAGTATTGCTGAGTATAATAGTCTGGGCTGACATCCATGGTCTCTTAGAGTCTGAGAGACATCTGTCTAGGCCCTTCTGGACTTTAGAGTCTCCTTTGAAAAGTCAGGTGTAATTCTAATAGGTCTGCCTTTATATGTTATTTGGCCTTTTCCTCTTGCAGTTTTTAATATTCTTTCTTTGTCCTGTATGTCTAGTATTTTAATTATTATGTGGGTCAGGGACTTTCTTTTCTGATCCAATCTATTTGATGTTCTTTAAGTTTCTTGTACCTTTAGGTTAGGAAAATTTTCTTCTATGATTTTGTTAAATATATTTTCTGGATTTTTGAACTGGGATTCTTCTTCTATTGCTATTTTCTTCAGTTTGGTCTTTTCATAATGCCTCAGATTTCCTGGATGTTTTGTGTTATGAGTTTATCTTCAGCACCTGAGATTCTCTCTTCCATCTCTTTTATTCTGTTGCTGATGCTTGAGTCTGTAGTTCCTTTTTGCTTACCCAGATTTTCCATTTCTAGAATTCCTTCAGTTTGTGTTTTTGTTATTACTTCTATTTTGATTTTCAGGTCTTGAATAGTTTCCTTTGCCTGTTTGTTTGTCAGTTCTTAGCTTTCTTGGCATTCTTTAAGGGATTTACTGACGTCTTCCAATTTTTTGGTTGCCTTTTCCTCGATTTCTTTAAGGGAGTCTTTCATTTCCTCTATAAAGACCTCTGTCATCTTCATAAAGTGGTTTTAAGGTCATTGTCTTGTACTTCAGCTGCATTGGAATATTCAGATCTTGCTGTTGTAGGATATCTGGGCTCTGGTGGTGCCATATTGTCTTGGCTGTTGTTGATTGTGTTCTTACACTGGCATTTAGACATCTTGCTTTGGGAGGATTACAGGTTGGGGTCCTGATTTCTGAAGTTATCTTTGCTGGTTTATCTTTGTTTTGTTCCTTGGTTTCTGTTTCCCCTTTGGTCTTCTGGTCTTTGTGGCCTGGATTTCTGGCATGGCCTCTGATATAATAGGGAGTCTCTGTCCAAGTTGGAGGCTGGCTTTTAGTGCAGCAAGGGTCCTCTGTTCTTCTGTGTGTGTGGCCTGCATCTGAGCAGTGGTGGAAGTCAGACACAAAGTAGGTCTTTAATGAATATTTGCTCATTGTCTGCATAATGAAGGGCAGGATCAAAATGTTGACTACAGTCATACAGGATCAGCTCTTGGCTGTAGGCTGCTATACTTGTCCCAGTGGCTAACCCTGAGTTCACTTTGCTGGACACTTTGTTCTGCCCCGTGTTTCTTATCCTAAAGCATGTCTTCCTTATCTGATTGATACTTGTCAAAGTCTAGTGAGTATTGTCACCTGCAAGTTATAGGTGAATAAACCAAAGCACTGTGGGTTTCTGGCCAAGGATCTCAGCCTCTGAGAGGCAGTGCCTGACCTCACCCAGGCAGTATGACTCCAGGTTCTTCCTAAGCCAGTGCCTTTTACAGAAAACAGAAACATGGCAAGTGGCTCCTGTATCTTGGGAGAAATAGTTTGTATTTTGTTTTGCGTCACATACTTCTAAGTCAGGTTCTAGCTCCATCACCTAATGACCTACTTTCAGCTCTGTTTATTGTGTGACTGTAAAGTATCGGAACCTGCTCCAGTTTTGGAGTCGAGTGTCTGTGGTGTGTGTGTGTGTGTGTGTGTGTGTGTGTGTGTGTGTGTGTGTGTGTGTGTGTGTCTGCACGAACATATTGTACGTGTGAATTACACATGTGCACGTGTGTTCCATTCATGTGTGTATAGGTGCACACAACCACATGAGACAGCTAGAGGATAGGAGAATGTTGGGTATTTTCCTCTATCATGCTTTGCCTTTTGTGTTGAAATAAAGCCTCTCTCATTGAACCAAATGTTTGCTGTTTTGACTTGGCTGGCCAGCCGCTGGTGAGCTTGCAGGATCTACCTGTTTTTGCTCCCTTGTGCTGGAGTGACAGGCACTAGGTTCCCAGCTGTTCATATGGGTGCAGGGTATTCAAACTCAGGTTCCCACACTTGTGCTCTCTCCAGCTCCTAGCTTCTACCTTTCAGCTAACTTAAAACAATGCAGCAGTGTGCATGAGCTACATCCTGAGAGCTTTGTGACCCTGACTCCCATACTCTCTTTGCTAAAATGATAAAAGCCACACCCATCTCTGTGGGCCACTTGGCCAGTCAGAGGTAAACATAAAGATGCCTAGTGTGAAGGGAGTGAGCCGCTGGTGCTGTTGGCACTCGTCGTGTAAGGCCAGTCGCCTGACAGCTGCTTCTTCCCCCGTGGTCCTCATTCCTCATCCGGGCCCCGTTCTCCATCCTTCCTGCAGTAACCCCACTTGCTGTCTCCCCTCCCATTACACCATTTTATCTACACAGGGCTCTGTGAGATATGTTTCCCATCGACATTGCTTATTTTACCTTATGATGTTAGAATGACTGTCCTGTCCCATTATGTAGAAGGATGGAGAACACAGCTCACCTTTGGTTTGTCATGTGTTCCGTTTCCCTTCTGCTTTGCTCACATTTCTTCGTGTTTGTAGAGACACACATTATTTGTATTTTACAGTGATTTCCATCCATTTGACCCTGACACACATTTCCTTCATGAGCTTCACATGCATGCCCTCAAGGTTTCTCTTTTGAATGTTGTTCATCAGCTAACTATATAACCTCATCATTTATGAAGTTTAAAGTGTCTCTTTCTGATGGAGTTGAGCATCAGAGTAAATACTGTCTCTCCCGTTTGGGTTTCTAAATAACTTTGTGTGGCAGATCATTTCCTGTATGAAAGGGGAGTTTTGAGTGCGAGCTCATGCAGAGAGCAGGAGAGCCAAGGCCATGCTCTGCAGCTCTATACACATCACTGTCTCCCAGACAGCTCTACCCTCAGAGCTGAGAAGCACAGTTGTTAATGCCTGGCTTACTAAAACACTTCAGTTACGTCTTCTTTTATTTCACAGGCTCTTATGTTCCAGCAGAATATGCCTCCTTCAGGATTGCTGAGCAGATTTTTACCAGAATCAGTACTGATGATGATATTGAAACAAATTCATCAACATTTATGAAAGAAATGAAAGAGGTAACTAAACAAACTCCCCTAGTATTAAAAGCACATTAAGCATCCTGGCATCTGGAGCTGCTGGTTCTGAGAGCCAGAGGGCAGTCAAAGACAGCGTCCTAGTGCGTCGAGTGTGAAATGTGAACGGGAAGCTGATGCTTCACAGAAAATGCAGCTCTGGAAGGCTAACGTGGGCATACATGTTTCTGTGTGGAATATCTGACTTTTCAGGAGGTAACGACTACTTTACATAGAGTTAATTCTTCTTCTTTGCCTGGATTTTGAAATTAAAGATCCTTGTGTTAGAAGTCTTTAAAATCCATTGTCCCCGTGTTTATAAACAGGGAGAATGAGAATGCTCATTTCCCATCAAACTGTGTACGCTTCTGTTACTGACCGGGCAAACAGCAGCTTTGAGGCTAAGAAAAGAGTTCTGAGGGCATCTGTGTTAGCTAGGATGTGTGGGTCACTGTGCAGTTAGATTGCTTTTCTGCATGTGTTGTAGAAAACAGCATAAATAAGCATACAGTTGCTTGGCATGTATAGAATACACGTGGGAATCCTAGCAATATTCTAGATACATGCAGCAATGTATTTATTTTTAATTTATTTTCAAGAAAGGGCTTCACTATATATAACCCTGTTATGGGAATCTTGTCTATGTTGTGGCCCAATGTCCGATCGGAGTCGGGTGTTGCTTCAAGAGGGAGCGGGTGTTCACGTTCAGCTGTTGGGAATGGATCATAGAGTTCTCCCAGACTCAAGAAAGAGGCCCCAGGGAAGAAGAGGAAGGGCCAGAGGTTGCATGGGCCCTTTGGAGCTGGGAAGTGGACAGTGATGGTATGTGTCATGATCCTTGTGACTGCCTCAGGTCTTTGTCTTTATATTTGTCTCCAAGTTTTATTGTATAAAAAATGATAAAGTAAATCCCAGTATCTGGCATCCAACTTGAAGTGTGGAGTATTTTCTCTATTTTTCTAAATACAAATTGACTGGACATTGTAAATGTATTTCTTACTTGATAGTTTTTCTTATTGTATATAGTTTCATTTTGTTAAAGTCAATACCTTTCCTTTCTATTTGGACAATACTTGATAATTATTATATGTAGTTTTACTGTGTTAAAACCTTTCCTTTGTAATTAGGCAAAACTCCCCAAATTTAAGGTTGGGGAAGAGTATCCATAAGTGGTACAAATCAAGAGAGATCAATTGCAAACTCTTAATGATTTTCAAAAATTTCTGGGAATATTAACTGGCTACAGCTCACAATTGGATTAACAACTCAAGAACTAAGTAATTCATTTCAAACCTTAGAAGGTAATAAGGACTTAAATAGTTCAAGAAAATTATCAGCTGAGGATGAGAGAGAATTGGCTTTGGTGTAAAAGAAATTACAGGATGAGCATGTGGACCACATGGATCCAGAGCTTGACTGTGTCCTCGTCGTACTATCTTCTACTCATTCTCCTCCAGGAACCTTTATACAGAGAGAAGGTAATATTTCAGAATGGATGTTTGTGCCACACAAACAGAGTGAAAAATTAAAGACCTATATAGAAAAGGTATCTGAATGGAAAGTTGAGACTTGGTCAACTAACAGGGATGGACCCAGCAGAGATTGTAGTACCTTTTACTATGCTGAAATTGCTTGACTATGAGCATGGAAATGAGCATTGCAAAGAGCTTGCAGTAATTTTTTGAGAGTGATGAACAACATATATCCCCAAAGCAAGAGACTTCAGTTTATAAAAAGAACCAGTTGGGTCCTTCCTCACATTGTGCAGGGAACAATATCCTGAGCCCTTCCATTCCATACTGATGCAAATAAACAAAAAAGGCAGGCTATAAGTCAAGAAATTAAAGTGGCTCAAAGCCCTTAAGATTCTGTTCAAAAGTCAGAATTATATACTATTCTAATGGTATTTCTAGATTTTCCAGAATCTCTTATTATATATACTTACTGACTCTCAATATGCAGAAAGAGTTGTTTTACATATTGAAACTACTGAACTTATTGCAGATGATTCAGAATTAATTTTGTTGTTTATTCCATTACAAGAAATACTCAGAAATAGAAATCATCCCTTGTATAAAACACTTATCAGATCCCATATGGGTCTACCAGGCCCTCTAGCACAAGGTAATGGTGAAATTGGTCAGCTATTGGTAGGAAATGCACCAGAAGTCTCAGAATTTCATAAGAAACATCACATTAATAGCAAGGGTTTGAAGAAAGATTTTTCTATCACTTGGCAACAAACCAAGGAAATTATAAGGAAATGTCCTATTTGTTCTTTATATAACCAAACTTTACTACCAGCAGGAAGTAGCCCAAAAGGTACTCAAAGAAATGAAATTTGGCAAGTGGATGTGTTTCACTTTGCAGAATTTGGAAAATTAAAGCATGTACACCATACCATAGATACATATTCAGGATTTCAGTGGACAACTGCTTTGAGTTCTGAAAAGACTGATTCTGTAATTACACCTTTATTAGAAGTGATGGCCATCATGGGGATATCTGTGTTCCACCATGTGTCTCTAGTAAAAGAAACCTTTACATATCACAACATAAAGCATATATCAGGTGTGCCACACAGTCATACAGGACAAGCAGTTATAGAAAGATGTAATCATATTTAAAAGAGATGCTTAACAATCAGAAAGGGATAATAGGGACCTCTAGAGATAGATTTCACAATGCTTTATTAGCTTTAAAATGCAAATGAAAAGGAAACAACAGCTTCAGAGAGACATTGGATAATAGAAAAACCACTGAACTAAATCAGCCAGTATGCTTTAAAGATGTGTTGCCCTCAGAATGGAAACCAGGATATGTGTTGTATGGGGAAGAGGTTTTGCTTTTGTTTCCACAGGAAAAGGAAAGCTATAGATACCAACAAAATTGATCAGGATTCAGTTTGAGCACTAGAGACCTCTTGATCTGGAGAGGTGATAGTTCATCAACCTGGCAAAAAGGAAAACTACCCCAAATTAAGGTTGGGGCAGGATTTTGTTTTTGTCTTTCCAGGAGAATAAAAGCATCCAACTAAGGAATCTAGAAGACCACTGGACAAATGAAGAGAGATTCATCCAGAGAAAATGTCCCAAGAAAAGGAGTCAGTTGGCTTGGCAGTGTAGCACACTTCACAGGAGAGAATTTCATAAATCTTTCAAAATGTCGGCTTCTGATGTTCTCCTCAGACATGTTAGGCAGATGGTCTTTATATAGTCCCAACTCAATTCAAAACTAAAGCTGACTTTGGAATTGGAGTTTGGCTCTCTCCTTCTCTAAACCCAAGCATTCTTGTTAAAGGAAAATCCAAACTCTCTGTCTTGTATCAGAAGAGCCACCTGGTATGGGACAGAAGAAAACCAAATCTAGAGACTATCATATTGTCACTAATCTCATACCCCTAGGATTTATTTTGCCTCTTAAATCCTTTTTAAAGTTATAAATATTATTTTAAGATTTATAATATATATGTTAGATGTATATGTATATAAGTACACATATATTTAAACTTTAGCTGTTGTGATATTAATGGTCTTATAGAGTACTATCTAATTCTAATCATGGGCTGCATGTAGCTTCCTGTGTGTGACATCAGACTTGAGTCTGAAGCAGGTATTTAGGAATTAAGTCTGTGTATCCCAGGTGTGTTTAATAGATTATGGCCCTTTAATCTCTCTGAGATCTGCCACATATGACATTTAAAATGTTTAGGTTTTCTCCAGTGAACGGTGAACATTCTTAACAGTGACCTTTGAAGTTTCCAAAAGATGATGAGGCCCACAATGATGATTCCACCTGGATTTGACACTAAGCTGAAAAACACCTTCCAAAGATCAGCTTTGGACTACAAACTGCTCAGGACAATTTCAGGATAGTTAAGATGGTCCAGCCTCATGGACTGCTCCAGTCAGGACTCCAGATAGCCTTGTATTGTCTTATCAGATCAAGACTGGACAACAGCTAGATTCCCTGGGACTTGACCATTGTCTCTATTTTCTCAGGGTCCCCTAAAGATGCCAGAGCCCCATGTCAACAGGAAACAGTCTAGAAAACATGATGCCCACATGCCCAAGAGGTGGGATGGATGGGTTTTGGTTGTTAAGTAGATTATGGATGTTTGTCATTGTTTAGGGGGTTTGGTTACAAGTTGTTACTGGCCGTGGTCAAATCTCTCTGAAAAGAAAAAGTGGGGATATAAGCACGGTAGGGAAAAGGAGAGATTATTGAATCTACTTTAATCCTAAAAGCAGTTACTTAATCTCAGAAAATTCTATATTGGTATTAATTTTTATATTGATACAAATTTAAGGTTATTTTGTTATACTATATGTATATTTGTATTTCTGCTTTGGGTATTGTACCTATGCAGCTTGTTTAATTATGTAATATAAAGTTTTAGTCCTTGCCGGGCGTTGGTGGTGCATGCCTTTACTCCCAACACTTGGGAGGCAGAGACAGGTGGATCTCTGTGAGTTCAAGACCAGCCTGGTCTACAAGAGCTAGTTCCAGGACAGCCTCCAAAGCCACAGAGAAACCCTGTCTCAAAAAACCAACAAAAAAAGAAAAGAAAAAGAAAAAAGTTTTAGTCCTTGAAAGCTTGTATGATATTAAGGAAATCCAGTTAATAGTCAGCCATAACTGTCAAACTTATAGTCATGTTTAGGTATGTTTTCAAGGTCACACAGAGATATTTAGGTAGATAGGTGATCTTCAAACATTTCAGAGAATATGGCATTTAAAATGTTTTAATAACATCAGGTTCACATGCCTGCTCCTGGTGGTTCTAATCTATTTCAAAAAAGGATGATGGACAGTGAGGAACCTCCATATTGGAGTTTACTTTATTTATGGCAGAAGCTAGCCTTTTGGGTAAGAAACTGCTTTAATAGTATGTTGTCCAAACTGGACAAGCAGGTTACAAGAAAAGTGACTGCTGGACTCTGCCAAGACAGGGTAGGACAGTCCTTTAAAATATCCTGCTTATCAGAAATGTGTTGGATATTCTAGACCTTCAGGCCAAATTTGGATGCCCTAGCATCACAGAGGAACCTAGGGTGACTGTCCAGGTTCTGTCATTTCCCTTAATTTTTGAAGTCACTTGGTCCTGTCCTCATTCTCAGGTCTTTCATAGGTTTAAAGACTAGAAAATTACAGTTCTCCTTAATCTTGGTAGAAAGTAAATTAGCTATGACTTTTCAGTAGAGGACAGCTGATGGAGTATTTTCTCTTTTTTGCCAAATACAAATGGACTTGACATTGTGAATGTATTTCTTACTTGATAATTGTTCTTGTTGTGTATAGTTTCATTTTGTTAAGGTTAATATTGTTCCTTTCTATTTGGACAAAACGTGATAATTAATCTTATTGTATATGGTTTTACCATGTTAGAGTTAGAACCTTTCCTTTTTAATTAGATAATAAGAGGGAAATATGTTCCAGGAATCTTATCTATGTTGTGGCCTGATGTCCAGTTGGAGTCAGGCATTAGTTCAAGAGGCGGGGTTCACATTCAGCTGGTTAGAATGAATCATAGAGTCCCCCCTGGACTTTCGAAAGAGAGGCCCCTGAGGAAGAGGAGGCAGGGCCAGAAGGTTGCATGGGCCCTTTCAAGCCAGGAAGTAGCTGGTGATGGTGTGTGTCATGGTTGTGACTGTCTTTGGATTTTTATCTTTATCTATGAGTTTTATTATATAATAAGTAGTAAAAGAAATCCCAATATAATCTTCCCAGTCTGGCCACAAACTTACAGAGATCCACCTGGCTCTGCCTTTCCAAGTGCTGGCCTCACAGCTGTGTACCATTCACCACCAGGAAGTGTATCTTTAAAAAGATTCCTTGTCCCATAAAAAGCTACCGTGCTATAGTATGAATAGGTGGAATTCTGTACTCTTAAAAAGAGGTTGATATTCTCCAGAGAGAAGGGAAGATTTCTATCAATTTTAGTCTGTTTTTTGGTCATGGATTTAAATTGGTTAAATTAGTATGTTTTTCTCAATATCTTGTTCTGTTTTTAGCAAATACAGGTAGGTTTTGAAGTAAATAAGTTTTGAATTGGTTTTCAACATTTTATGATGATGATTGGTCATTTGTAAGAAGCAAATGGCCATCCTGCTTTATTTAAGTTCATTGCTTTGTTTCTCTGTGTTGGGGATAATACTGTTTTGCTGTCTCATACATATGTAGATATCGTTTTTATATATGAACTATTTGTGAGATTTTCTGAAAGAAAAGCAATGTGTTATTTTCTGCTCAGCAGGGTTTCTCTATTAAGATACATGTCAGATAGATGCATTAATAAACAGACTAATTTCACTTGTCTTCTAGGAGACCGGCATCGGCTGCGTTACAATGAATAGTTTCAAAATTATGTCTTCCAGATAGCATATATTCTGCATAATGCTAATGACAAGTCACTTATATTAATTGATGAGCTTGGCAGAGGGACCAACACAGAAGAAGGCATTGGCATTTCTTACGCTGTCTGTGAGCACCTGCTGAGCAAAAAGGTATCCTTCCCTATTCATTCCAAATGGTGTGTCTCACGTGTGTAATATGATTGGATATTTACTGTTGTATATACATGATACAGACAAGGAGTAACATTGAGAACTATAATTAATGCAAAAGTCAGTTGTCTTTAATCAAATTGAAAAACAAAATATGCAGGTATTTTAGAGTGTTTCCACATGTAATAATCTCTGTGTCCTCATAAAACAGAATATGGCATTGACAAATTAGCATCTGTGAAAGTGATTTGTTTGTGTCAGACTGACTAGGCACAAATGTCTGACAGTTGGTTAGGCATTATTTGGGGACTGTCTGAGGGGTATTTCTAGAAGCAGTAAACATCTGAATTGTAGGCTGAGCAGACAGCCTTCCCTGATGGGTATGGGCCCTGTCCAGTAGCCTGAGAGCCTGAACAGATGACTCTGCCAAGGGTTAGAGGAACTCTTGTCCAGCTGCTGTGTCTACAAGATGGGTTTCTTGCTGTCTTCAGACTCTAGCAAGGAATTTCCAAACTGAAGCCTGGTGGCATTCAGCTAGAATTGCCTCATAGCTCTCCGAGTCTTCAGTTTACCAGCTGTTGGCTTCTGTGATCACGATCCAAGTCTTTGTAATGAGGACTTGTGCATAAGCAGACCCTGTGGGTCTGATTCTCTTGAGACCCCTAGCTGATACAGTACCCATTTCTGTGATATTCTAAGTGTAGTTATCTGTTACAGGATATTTGATCACACTGTGAACCCCAGATTTCATTATTTGTTGGAAAAACCTATTTCTAGTTGTGGTGTGGCTCAGCCTTAGCACTCGCCTTTAATCTAAGAGCTTTCTGTTTGAATATTGTAAACAGGATTAAATAAAGTCAACCATAGGTCAGGAGCAAGCAACCAGTTGACAGGAAGTGAACATCAGATTATTAAAAAACCATAGAGGGTAATAGGGAGTCAGGAGGGTGGATAGAGAGACACACAGGCAGTGGAGGGCGGGACACTGAGTCACAGGAGAGTGTTTAGGGCAGTAGGAGAGAGGTGGAGGAGGAAGGCCAGCTGGTGCTTTTTCTGCTTTCGCCCCAGCGTCCCATTCCTGAGATTTTACTGGTAAAATCGAGCGATGGAGATTTTGTCTAAACAACAGTTATCTTCAATGACATTTAAAATACCCTTTCTAGTACAGTATCAGGAGCTTGTATCCCCTCTTAATGTTAGTTTTCTAACCTAAAACCAATCCTTAGTAGCTGGTGCAATGTTTGCACTCTGTAGGCCCTGAAAACCCATTTTTATGTTGAATTAACCTAATGGAGCTTATAAAGTTTTGTTACTGCTGTTTGGTGGTGTGTGTGTGTGTGTGTGTGTGTATCTGTGGTGTGTGTATGTGTGTGTGTGTGGTGTTGAAGCAGAGGCCTAAGGAGCCACCTTCAGGAATGGTGCCACTTGATGCAAGTCTCAGTGTGTTTGTTACTTCTATATGTACAGTTGTTTATGGAGGCCAGGGAGCAACCTCAAGAGTCATTCCTCAGGTGACATCCACTTCTTTGGTTTTCCTTGTGTGTGTGTGTGGAGTGGTGTATGTGTGTGGTGTGGCATATGTGTGTGTGTGTGTGTGTGGTGTATATTGTGTGTGTGTGGTATGTGGTGTATGTATGTGGTGTGTGTGTGTGTGTGTGTGTGGTGTGGTGTGTGGTATGTGTGTGTGTGTGTATCTGTCTGTGTGTGTGTATGTATGTGTGTATGTATGTGTGTGTGTGTGTGTGTGTGGTGTGTGTGGTATGTGTGTGTGTGTGTATCTGTGTGTGTATGTGTGTGTGTATGTATGTGTGTGTGGTGTGTGGTGTGTGTGTGTGTGTGTGTGTGTGGTGTGTGTGGTGTGTGTGTGTGTGTGTATCTGTGTGTGTGTGTGTGTGTGTGTGTGTGTGTATGTGTGTGTGTGTGTGTGTGTGTCTGTATGTGTGCGTGTGTGCGTGTGTGTGTGTGTGCGCATGTGTGGTATGTGTGTGTATGTGTGTGTGTATTCTGTGTGTGTGTGTGTGTGTGTGGGTGTGTGTGGGTGTGTGTGTGTGTGTGTGTGTGTGTGTGTGTGTATGTGTGTGTATGCTGATAAGGATCTCTAGGGCCTGGCACATGGTACCCAAGTACTCTAACATTAGAGTAACATCTGAAACCCTTGATGCCTGATTTTTTGTTTTGTTTTGTTTTGTTTTGTTTTTAATGATTTTATTTATTTATTATGTATGCAACATTCTGTTTCCATGTATATCTGCACACCAGAGGAGGGCACCAGATCTCATAACGGATGGTTGTGAGCCACCATGTGGTTGCTGGGAATTGAACTCAGGACCTCTAGAAGAGCAGTCAGTGCTCTTAACCTCTGAGCCATTTCTCCAGCCCTTGATGCCTGATTTTTAAGCACATTATTTTCAAGCAGTCACTCATTTCTATGCTGTGTAGATAGGAGTGAGTCACAGTCTTGCTCTTATATCAGTACCCTCCCCTGAGACTTGCTCCTCAAGACCAGATTAACTCCTTCAGGCTGTTGCCATGACCTCTCACTAAGCTCCTCTTCTTAAAGGTCCCCATCTCCCTGTGTCAGCAGTTAACCTGTTCAGGACACACCCCAGCAGTATCCAAACCACCATCATGGACTATGGAGAATTTTCATGTTAATCATATGTCAAATCTTTCCTTTCTTTGCTATTACCTTTGGTTGAGAAATTTTGCCAGCCAAATATTTAATTTTCTTTCTTTGGTACAGAATCTTGCTATATAGCCCTACTAGATGGCCTGCTATTCTCTATATAGCCCAAACTGGTCCCACACTCACAGCAGTCTTCCTGCTTCAGCCTTTCAAGTGCTGGAATTTCAGGCATGTTCATATTTAAATTTTTAACCAGTCCTCCATCAGTTTCTCATGTGTAATATCTTAAAAAATAACCAGTTGTTCAAATCTCTCTTTTCTTTAGTAAAGTAAAAAACTTCAGGGAATTTCTCATTGGATTTAATCCCTGACATCACAAAAGTAAACCAGAAAAAGCAAACACAAATAAAACCTTTGAGAATTCAGCTACCTTATATAATTGGTTAACACTGTGTTCACACCAATACTCTATAGGAGGTAGCTCGGTGTGGAGTGTGTAAGAGGTTAAAGGAAGCTCTGTGAGTGTGCGGGCAGGAGAACTGTGGCTCCTCCCTCAGTGTCTCTGGTAAACTTCATCTTTTTACTTTGGAATTTGTTCTCTTTCACATAACATATTGTGCATGGACGAAGTTGACCTTACATTGGATATAAACTTCAAAACCCATGAACTGACTATGTCAGTCTCTAAGATACTAGATTCATTCCTGTGTCTTTGCTAAACTAGTTGGAAAAGTTAAGCTAATGTGTTATGTTTAAGTAGTTAAAATAGAATTTTCTATTTTCTATAATTTAAAAGTACTAATACTGTCTGTTATGTGTTCTAGGCATTTACACTCTTCACAACACATTTCCTGGAACTATGCCACATAGATGCCCTGTACCTTAATGTAGAAAACATGCATTTTGAAGTCCAGCATGTAAAGAATACCTCAAGAAATAAAGACGCAATTTTGTATACTTATAAACTTTCTAGGGGACTCACAGAAGAAAAAAACTATGGTACTGCATTTAGACTTCAAATAATACGTGTCTCTTAAGGCAACCCTCCTTTCCCTTTATTTGGCTGTTGCTCATCCTTCTAGTGTTTATATGCTTTTTAAGACTCTAGTTTCTTTGTCAAACCCAGCTTATATAAGTTTATGGTCCTTGATTTTTCTGTAGAATTACAATAATGCATGAAAGCCCTGGGAGTATTGGCTTGTTAGACAGTATAACAGTTTTGTTTTTATTTTTTTGAAGATTTTTATTCTCTGTATATGAGGGTTTTGCTTGTGTGTGTGTGTATCACCTGTGAGGCTGGTGCACACAGTGGTCAGAAGACAGTGTCAGATTCTAGGGAACTGGAGTTATATGGATGGTTGTGAGCCATCCTGTGGTTGCTGGGAACTGAACCCCAGTCCTCTGAAAGAGCAGCCAGTGCTCTTAACCACGGAGCCATTTCTCCAGGCCCAGTATAACAGTTTATAAATTATATAACTGAAAATAATGTATTTCCCATATACTCATTGCCACAGTTGGTTTGTTTTCAGTTTCAGGGTATTTTATAATTACATCTAAAAATCTTAAAAGAGAATGTGCCTAACAATAGTATTCTCAAACTCTTGCCAACTACTTTCTATGTAAATCATATGTAACATGCAAATTTCCAGGCTCTGGGTATTTTCTACTCCCCCATATATTAAAATCTCTAAAGTCACATTTATCTGTGGATATGACCCCGTGAGAAATGAGAAAGAAAAACGCTGCTTTCCTGTTTGAAGTGGGAAATGGGCTGGACAGCCTCCTTACATCAGATGCTTACTCCCCAGTTCTCGATCCCGGTGTCTGAAAGGGGGCAAGAAGGGATGGTTTACCGTGTGTGGGGTCATCCGGGTTCAGTGCACTGTCAGAGTCAGCCACTGAGGGATCAGTGCCTTCTCACTGAACATGCGGGCTGCTTCTGTTGCTGTTAGAGGCAAGGAGAGAGCAAACCGTTGGCGCACCAGGCACAAGGAAGCCTGTGGGATGGCATCTGCATGCGTGAGGGGTAGTTGACCCTGGGGATTTGTGTAAGGCAGTCACAGAGGAGGGGATTTGGTCTGCAGGTCATGGAACATGCAGTGAGACTAGACAGAAGTGACTTAAGGTCTGCTTTCTTTCATTTTAGGGTTAAAAGCTGCAGAGGCCTCCTCACTTCCACCATCAATTGTCTTGGATGCCAGAGAGATCACAACACAAATTACAAGTCAAAAAAAAAAAAAAAATTTGAAAAAAAAAAAAAAAAAAAAAAAAAAAAAAGAAAGACAGTTACAGTCTTTCTATTTTCTTACTACAAGGCACACTGTGTTGTGAAGAACTTGCATGCAGCCTGATGTAGCTGTTGAAGAGGCTCTCCCCAGACCCATGGTCTGTGTGTGCCCCAAAGACCCTCTTGTACCGTGGTGACCATTGAGTGCCTGTCTGTCACTCTCCGTGCTCTCGCACACTCAGACTCCAGCCCATCCCATGCTTGTATGTGCATGTAAGCAAATGTGTGTGTGAGCATAGTTTAGCATGCAGAAGGAAGGGCACCACCAGGTAAAGAGGGCAGATGGACTGAAGGCAGAGAATGGCAGTCACCAAAGGATAAAGAGTTGATTGTCTCGCGATTTAATGCTGCCATTTTTCTTTTTCTTTTTCTTTTTCTTTTTTCTTTTTTTGGCATGGGGTTGTAGTAGATAAGTGCATTAAATGTTTTAATATATGTTTTATTATGGCTTTTGATTTAAAAGTATTCATAATCTAAATATTTAAGATAGAAAACCCAGTTCCTAAGTAAAGAAAAGGTTGTTTTTTTTTTTTTTAAAGATTTTATTTATTAAGTATTCAGTGTTCTGCCTGAAGGCCAAAACAGGACACCATATCTCATTATAGATGGTTGTGAGCCACCTTGTGGTTTCTGTAAATTGAACTCAGGATCTCTGGAAGAGCAGCCAGTGCTCTTAACCTCTGAGCCATCTCTCCAGCCCAAGAAAAGATTTTAAATATTAGATTATTACAACTTTTACCAGCAGATCATGATACTAATAACAGACAAATTCTGTTCCTATAATTGCTGCTAACTTCATTTTTAGGAAGTAAATCTATTTGAAATGTACATTTTAAAAACAGTCTGCAACATTCAAATTTTTAGCTTTCAATGCTCTTCTATCCATTATCATAGATTAAAACTCATTTTTCTTTATGAAGTAAATGGTTCTATTTCTAAATGATAATTATTGAAGGATTATTTCGCTTTCAGTTTGCAGGTTAATAGAAGTTAAGTGGCTTTCTAGGAAATAGTAGGTCAGCATTACATGTGTTGACTTAAAATTTGAAACCCTTTTTTCTTTAAATGTTTCATATTGTTTCAAAAAATCCAGTGTTGAGTATATTGAGCTAAGTGTAGTGTGAACAATTTCTCTAAGAATAGTTGTCTGTATCTCACCCGTTTTTATTGTTGGGTTTTTTTGCTTTAGCTTTTTGCTGTGATTTGCAGACATGTAACAGCACCATATCTGTCATTTTATTATTATTATTATTAATTCAAGTTAGGGAACAGGCTTGTTTCACATGTAATTCCCCTCTCCCTCCCCTTACCCCCATTCCTTCTCTCCCACCTCCAACCTACCCCCCACCCCATCCCCCCAACACTCCCCAGGCAGGGTAGGGCCTTCAACGGGGGCTCTGCAAAGTCCACCAAATCTTCCTGTGCTGGTCCTGAGCCCTTCCCCATGTGTCCAGGGCCAG